CTTCACCCTGGTTCCGCTTCTTTTGCCGTACCGGCTTCTTTTTCGGATCCACAGCGAGTTTGTGTACTGCCAGATCAGGACTAATGCCTGGCATTTCATGGACTTCAAATGCAAAGATGTCCTTGTATTCTTTCAACAGGTTGTGAAAGTCATCACCAAGGTTTCCAGAGCAGTCGTCCCAACTTTGACTGTTCGGTCAGGGCGGGAGTCGTCTAATATCAGGTCCGTATGCTCACCAGCCGGCTGAGGGCGGAACTCATCCGGCCGGTCCTCTGCCAATGATTGCTATTTTCTTGCCTTTCTGGCGGACTCTGTCTGGGACGCCTTTCTTTTTCTGTCGCCTGTTTCTTGAACAGGCGCACTTTCCTTGACATTGTCAAGGTCTGTTTTTTCTCCACTTGACCCAGTGGCCTTAGCAGTGGGTTTGACATCCGAGAGATAGCACTCTCGGGCCATCCTCTGATCTCCCCTTAGGGAGCCGACTGTTCCATTGTCCCTTTCAAACTTAAGCAGCATAAGTGACGGGATTATAACAGCCTTGGCACTATTCAGGGTTGGGCGACCCAGAATCATGTTGTAGGCAGAGAGTTCCTCTACAACTAGGAATCGGACTACCATGTGTCGTCCTTCCCTTTTTCGCCCAGGCGGACGGGTAGATCAACTCGTCCCAGTGGGTGGACGACTCCTCCTCCAAACCCTATTAAAGGGTGGGAGGCCGGATGTATGCAGTCCGTCTGATATTTCAGTTTTGACAGACATTTGCTGCTGATGAGATCTGAAGAGCTCCCAGTATCTATGAGGATTCGACCAACTCTCTGGTTGGCCACTTTACATTCAATAACGAGAGGGTCGTCATGCGGCCCCCTTATTCCTCCTAGATCCTCTTCAGTGATGACAATCTCAGGAAATGTATATTTGGACGGTCGTTCTTGGTGAACGGAATTTACATCTAACCGCCTTATATTATCTTTGTTGCCCCTAATAGTGGGGCCGCCTCCTGAGAAGCCGCCTGCAATGGTGTAGACGACTGCATCATCTGTATCGGAACTGTCGGCCTGTTGATTCTTTTTGGCCGACTGCTTTTTTGAGGAAGTATTCCCCGTAGATTTCTTGACATAAGTGTCAAGATCACCTTGATCAGCCAAGCGGTCTAGGTACCGCATGAGACTAATGCAGTCGTTGGTGTGATGACCAATGTCATCATGATAAGCACAGATTTTGTCTTGGTTCCGGTTGCTCGCAGAACCCTTCATGGGGAGCGGTTTCTCAATTGAGAGCCGTCCCTTTATTTCTTTTAGGATAAACTGGTTATCCTTGTTAAACACATACTTTGGGGAGTATGGTTTGAATTCCTTTTTCTTCTTGGCCGGCTGTTTAGAGGAATCAGCCGCCCAGACCCCTTTTCTTTTTTCATCTTTGTTGGACGACTGTTTCTGTCGTCCTTCTCTATTGTCGAACCTCTTCCCGTCCGACTGTTTCATTGTACACAGATCAGTCGCCTGTATATAGGCTTCTGCTTCAATCAAGGCCTCTTGAAGAGTCGCCACCCTTTTTCGAACTAAATCAAATTTGAAGGTAGACCCGTCTTTGAGACCTCTAAAAAAGTCAGTATAAGCTACCTCATCCGGTAACCCTTGAATCTGTATTCTCATCAGGTTGAACCGCCTGATGTAGGAACGAAGCCCCTCCTTTTCACCCTGCTGAATTGTTCCCAAATCAAGGGTCGTTTTCTTCGCAGGGATGTTCATTGCAAAGTTGGAGGCAAATAAGTAAGCAAGCGTCCTGAAACTGTTTACACAACCAGTCGGCAGGTTGCCGAACCATTGCTGTGCAATTCCCTTGAGAGTTGCTGGGAAACACTTGCACCAAGTGGGATCATCCAACCCTTGAAGGTACATCAGGTTGGTGAATGCCATCAGATGGTCTTCCGGGTTAGTAGTGCCATCATAGGCGCCTACTAAAACATTTTTTACTTTGGCCGGCTGAGCGGCTTCAGTAATTTCCTTGGAGAAGGCCGACGGCTGTTCACCAAGTCTAAGCAGCCGTAGCTGCCAGTCCATAGGTTGGACGTTTTTTGCTGCAGGTCCACCAAATGGAGGTGGCTGCATAAAATATTGTTGTTGCGGCACAAATGGCAAATTTGGTACCGCCTGCGCACTATGAAAGCCAGACTGTCGGGAGGTGCCGCCTGACTGACTCTCATGGTACGACTGAGTTGGCCTCATCGAGGCATTTCGCAAACTGTCCTGAAAATTTGAAGTAGAAGCCGACTCTGATAATCGGTCACTCTTCTTCTGCTCTAGCAGGTGCCGAGCATCTGTGAACGTTTGCTTTGACCCATCCGCCTGAATATGACGAACCGGTTTCCTATTTCCCGTAGGATAACGGAGTTTTGTGAAATCAAGAGCAGACGGCTCCCGCTTCTTAGATTTAGGATGGGGAGTCGCCTCTCGCCCTTGAACTGGCTTCCTCTTCAGTGAAGTGTAAGGTTTTTTGGCCGCCTGCTCTTTGACTGAAGCAGGCGGTTTTTTGTTGATCAACTCTTGGATCTCTCCCTTGAATCCCCTCATGAAGGTCATGAGTTCGTTCCTTGTGATGGGAGCAGACCCATCAGTCGGCTGTTGCCGAGCAAGCGGTGCGCCTGCTGGCTCGCTTCCTGTTTGAAGATACTCCCGTTCCCTTATTTCAGTATGACGGGTACGGCGGGCCCTTAGGGTCCCGTCTGGAGCTGTATGAGTTTCAACTTCAAATTCACTTTCGGTATCATGGTCCGACTGAACTTGAGGGTCGTCTAGGGGACGCCTCTCTTCTGGGGTCGGTACAGACTTGGATGCCATCTCTGAAGTACTCTCCCCACAGACGGCGCCAAATGTTTTGGGGTTTTCTGATGTCCTGCGGGAGAGCTACAATTCCGAGACTGGAACCGGACGCCTGTACCTGCAAAATAACGGAGACTCCTGAGAGCTCCGCCTCCAACGGTCAAGTTAGTACCTGATTAAGGAGTAATTAACACAGAAATTAAAGTAATAAGGTCTCTCTAGGTGAGAGTATTTAATGTAGGTAATCTGCTTTGCTAGCGAAATCAGCCGGTTATTAGTGTGTTCCGTAATGTTTCTCCTCTGTTCTGTTAATTATTCGGTCCCTTGATTAATGAGGATTAATCGAGTATTTATAGCCTTGGGAAGCGTGCAACTCTCTAGGTTTAAGGTAAACCTAGGGCCGATCGGGCTTCTAGACTGAAATGGGCCTTGATGGCCGGTTGTCCCATTTGGCATGGGTGGACACGTGGCGTGTCTTAAGTGGTCCGTGGAGGACGCGTGGCGGAACCTGGTTGGTCCACTTGTCAAACGGCGCTTGGTGGATAAAAATCCCCTAATCAGTATTTATCGATGAGACGAAAGGTGTGGAACGTAAGTTGGAATTGTGAAGACAAACTTGAGGCTTTAGGTAAAGTAGAAGTATGCCAGGATATTAGAAATGTAATTTTAGTAGAGTAAGAAACAAGTAGGGGCATTCACCTTGGATGGAAGAATTTTTTAATGTTTTGATTTATTTTGATATTTAGGAATTATTATTTAAAGATGGAAAATTAGATGGAGATGTTGCTCGTAGAATCAAAGTAGGTTGGTTGAAGTGGAAGAGTGCTACCAAGTTTGATTACGCAACCCGGCATGCACCAAGGGAAATTTTTATCACATGTCCATCAGCCTGCATTATTATATGGTATGGAATGTTGGGTTGTTATACATTGTCATGTTCATAAGTTGAATTGGGTGGAGATGCGTATGTGGACATACAAGAAATGATCAATTGCGTAATGAGATAACTAAAAAAATAGTAGAGGTTGCATCGATTGAAAACATAATGAAGGAAAATCACCTAAGATGGTTTGGCTAGAAGAGGGTTAAAGTGATGGGATTGTAAGGGGTAGGGAAAGACCATAGAAAAGTCAGAGGAAGGTGATGAGGGTGAAATGTGTCTTTTAAGGATTGAGTAAGGGCTTTGGATATGGCAAAATGAAGGGGGAAAAATCTACTATGAGGACATGTCATGACTATATCTATATATAGAAGTATAGAACCACCCTAAAGTGAAAACTCCTTATGGTGAGAACCCCATCGTGGACTCTATGATTTGACGGTCACGATATAAAGAGTTTTATTGATGACATTTTTCATAATTACATAGAACTTCGAACCTAAGTTTACGAAAATACCCTTAATGAAACTTTATATCGTAGCCGTCATATCTACGCGATCTAACGGCCCATGATGCAGTTCTCACCATAAGGGGGGTCTCACCACCTTTTTTTTATCTCGCTTGAGCCCTCTTTTATAAATCTTTCCCAAATTCTATTTTTTTTTTACGCTCGCTCAATCTGTATTTCTCCCATTTTTGTCCACTTTCATTTTATCACTTTTCTGTCTTTGTTCCATTTTTTGCGGATGACTCCCTATTACAATTCTTGTTAGTTGACCAAAAAAAATTGGGAACTAAGCCTTGTTGTGGATATCATTATGTTTTAATTAATGTGTACTTTCCTATAAGAATTTTTCACTAATCTTTTTAACAACAGAATTACGGATATTTGGCAATAAGTAAATGCAAATAAAAAGATATGATATGATATGATGTAATTGAACTGAACAGAGCCATAAGGGGCACTAACTTGTAGTGGGGACACTAATTATTTGTCTGGATGCATGTTTTATATTCCTTAAGCTCAACCTTTTATGCAAATTAATTGATGTATTGAAAATTTTCATCTAAGCTGGTAGTTGCTTTCAGATAATTGATGATTTCCTGATGGGTGTGCACATAAAATGTTTTGTTGCTGTTTTAAAGTTCCAACTATTGTTGTTCTGAAGGGGATTTTAAATTTTTATCTTTTGGTCAATTGGTCTCAATTTTTTCAGGAGGCTTTTAATTTTCAAAATTTCAATTATGCTTCAGTTGTGTATGCAGTTTTATTTTTCCACTGAAACTTGCTAGATTACTTTTGCAGGTCCAATCAGATCCATTTTCCCTTGTTTCTGATGAGTTATCACTCGTAGCTGATAGATTGCGGTCAATGGTAGTCACAGAGGTGCAACAGTTACTCATCTTTGTGATGAATAAATAATGTTTGAATCAAATAAGGCAACTAAAGAGTGGGCATTTGATGTTCATTCTACCGACTTCTTTCAGGTCCCTAAGTTGGCATTTGCTGCTGAATATTTCTTCAAAATTGGAGTTGAAGGAAAGCGCTTTCGTCCCATGGTATGTGTACATTGCATATATATAAAGGGTTGAATCTGTATTGTGTGCCATGAACCACGATGATGAGTGTCATGATGTCAATTGTTTCATTGGAAATTGAGAGTTCGTCTAGAGAGTCCTCAAACACGTGACAATCAAAGACAGTTTCTTTTTCTTTGAAAATTTGATAGATATGTGTAATTAACTCAGGTGTGTTGATGATTTGTCTACGTTACTGATAGTCTGACATGGCTTACTCTAAATCTGTCCTAGTATGGATAATTTGCCATATCATAGAAGGAATAAAACTGTTCTTCGACCATCATGCTTGCTTGTTGTGGCGTTTATGAAATAGTCTAATGTTATGACGTTGGATTTCACCTCTCCTTCTGCATTTATGGTAGATTTTTGATAGTTGGTTTGGGTAAAAGTTTTGAAGTTTGAATTTGTGGTCTTAATTTCTTATCTTGCCATATATATTTCTTAAGAATTTGAAGTGTACAGGTTTTATTATTGATGGCTACAGCTTTAAACATGTCTGATAGACTATCACCTGATTATTTGGAAACACCGCTTCGTAGAAGACAACAATGCATTGCTGAGATCACAGAAATGATCCATGTCAGTGTATATTTATCTATTTCTTTTACTTCCCTTGACATTGTCATTTGCATTTTTTGTTAACTGTTTTGTTATTTTCTAAAGTTCAAGTTACCTAAATGGATGCTGAATTATGGTGTCAGGTTAATTGTGTGTATATATGATGACTCTATACTCCTCTCTAGAAATTTTGAAGCCTGTAATGCATGGTATGTAGTTCAGGGTACTTTTGAGACAAATTGATAAGTTGATATAGTGAAGGATGTGAACTATGAAAAGCTTTTGGGTAAACCTAGATCAGAGGTAAAAATTTTGTAATGAAAAACCTTACACTTTGGGCCCACTTTAGGGTTAAATGCTGGAAAAATGGTACTCAGGGTCGGGAAGGGGTGGGGGGTGTCCAGAAAAGCATAAGTTGGGTACCTCCTTGTCGCAATCTTTGGCCATCGAAGAGTAATAGATTGCTGCCTTACTTTCCTTTATTTTCCTTCATCTTTATGTATGTGAAAAGTGAATGTTAGTACTTATGCTATTGAAATATAGTCTCGATCACTAATTTTCTTAATAGATGTCATGACTTAGTCTTCTAGTTCCCATCACATTAACATAAGGCCAAGATAGTTGTTGGCTTTTAGGTTTGTTTAGCAAGTAAATATTTAATGCTAGCTCTCAATTTTTTTAAAATTATTGTTATAAGTCCTTTTAGTCTGACCCATTGTTTGCTAGTTTAAGTTCATAATGCTTATTGTGCACTTGGAATAAAATAAAAACTAATGTAAAACAACACCAGCAAGATAACCCACCCCCCCCCCCCCCAAAAAAAAAAAAAAAAAAATCAAATTTACTACAATTTCGTGCGAATTATTTATTTATTTAACTATCTATTTATATACATATACTACGTATATCTTTGTTTCAAATTTTATGATTACATGCCAAACAATGTCATAATTTGCTCCGTTATTCTTAATTGGAGATATTTTTAAAGAGAGTAATGCCAATTGAAATGTTATGGGAGAACAACTTTTAGATAATATTGCTTACAATAATTGCGTTTTGATAGCAAGAGAGTAAGGGTTCTTTGATTGTAGTCGTCCACTGACTTTTGATTGATTTCTAATTTTTTCGGGGTATGCAATTTTCATATTCATATTTATGATGTTGGATTTTCTAATTGATGTGCATTTGATTCCCAAAAGAATATAACAATCAGCTTGATTTTAATATGTAGTTGATGCTATAGAGTTTCTGCATAGAGAGAGAGAGAGAGAGAGAGAGAGGGAGGGGATGGAAAAGAGAGGAAAGTATTGATAAATGTGCTAAAACTCTTGATCTTACTTTAATTGCCATTTTTTTCTACCAGCTAGACATTCGATATTTTATATATTATTACAACCCCCTTCCCCCTCCCCCCCCCCCTACACTCACCCTAACACCATTTTTTTTCACCATTTTGAAAATATTTTCTTTCTCTTTAGTCACATGAGCTCAATTTATATCAATTGATCTATCTCCATATTGTCTCTGTTTCTGTTATTTTGTTATGTTGGTATAGAAATGATATTGTAGGTTAAATTCTAAATTATACTGGTCCCAAACTCTCAATATAACATTATCTTCTTTCTGCTTTACTTGATACATTTGTTGTCCCTCGTTTGTCAACTCTGTAGGCTGTAGGCCTGTAGCACACCTTTTTGTAAGCTTTATCTTTTGTACAGGAATGCATGCTTGAGTATTCTAAGTATTTGATCTATTTGTGATTTACCAAATTTTGTATTAGCTGGATCTTAAGGCATCCTCTTAACTATTAATGTGTAGAAATCTTAGAATTTATGATTGAAATGGGTATCATCTATTGGCTTAACTGAGACACTTTGTTCTTATATAGGTGGCAAGCCTTCTTCATGATGATGTATTGGATGATGCTAATACAAGACGTGGTGTTAGGTCATTAAACTCTGTGATGGGGAATAAGGTAATGTTTTCAGCTTCTTATGCAGCATGTCAAATGTGGTAATTAAAAAATAAAATTTGATTTAAAAATTTTCCAAATAATAAAATATTTGGCCTCCTTTAATAATCTTAGACCTCAATTGTCATGTTTTCTTAGTGGAAACAACTTCATTAAGAATCCAGGTTTAGCAGATAAATATTCCCGAGTCAAGCGTCTAATAAAGCAAACTTTCTTAAAAGGGGAAAATGATTATCTGTAAAACAGAATCAAATTGACATTCACACCAAGCGAATAAGGAGTCCAACGGCGCCCAGATTACTGAAACTTAGGTGCTAGGCCCAATTGCAAAACTGGCCTGTTGTGATGTGAAGCTTTGAAACAGCTCCTGCTCAAGTAATCTTAGGCTTGGTAGGCTGTTGATAAAACAGTTTTCGGTCTTGTTTCAGCAGCTTTCAGATTCTCTTGCAACAAATATTTGGTGGGTCCCACTTATGGAAATCAGATTTGTAACATAACACTCTACTGAATATAATGTCATTCACTAAAAATAACCTATAACTTCACAATCTCAATCAAAGATTTTTTTTTTGACAAAGAATAGGTACAATGTATATTGGTGTGTTGATAGCTCAATACATGACTCCATGCTTAAAATGTGTAAGCTATTTCCTGTTCTTTATGCTCACAAACCTCCTTTCCTCACACACGTTTTTAGTGCACAACTTAAAGTGTAAACAGAGTACGCCCAACATGATTTATAGTTGGTCTAGATAATTTGGGTACTTGGTGGTGTTTGTTGTTTTCATTTGAAAGCATGGTTATACCTACTTTTGAGAAAATATTTTACTTTTTACATGTATTCCTATGGTTTTGCTTATCTCTCACATATTTACCAATACATACACCTAGCTGGTCTTACATCTCTTGTACACCTTAGTGGTGGTATTCACACCCAAACACCTCAAATTGTGTTCACTATGTAGAAAAATTTCTTTTTCTTCATTCATACAATAATACCAAGTACTCAATACCTTTGAGATACAATCCCTTTGTTGGTAATAGGTGCCGATTAAATTTTCACGTGTATGAATTGTGATGCATCAAACATTAATATCAACCAATAATCAATGTTTATGATACTAGTACTAAATACCCTTAACCCTGTGTTAACTTGTAGGATAACACTTCTGTTTAGGGTAAAAATACCCTATGCCAGGTGGCCCAATAGTATGATGACACGTGGTAGCCCACCAGAGGCCCAACGGGATCCAATCGGATGCTGACACGTGGCATCAAAACCCTAATCAGGGAACATGCCTCCCCCACTATAAATAGGGGAAAAATCCTCATTTATGACCTATTCATAAATACATACACAAAACCCGAGCAATCTTAATTGCGGAATCTCCCTGAATCAGAGAGAAACATTCATTCTACTTTCCGCACGCTTTCTCATCCGGAATCATACTAACTTGATCTCCGGAGGCGGAACTCCACCCAACCGGAGTTTCGTGGTTTTGCAAGTACAGAAGTCAAGCGCGCATACTCTGTATTGTAACTCTCCCGAGGGACCAAAAACACCCGAAACATTTTGCGTCGTCTGTGGGGAGGGTACTACTGAGATGGCATCTGATGCTGTACCGAATGTAGAGGGCAGCCGGCCTACGGCTGACCCTGAGGTCCATACAGACCATGAAAGTGGAAGCGGTGACGACTACAATGTCGAAACCTATATGGCCCCAGACAGGTCATTCCGTTCTAGGCGCACCCGTTCCAAAGAAAAGAAGGAACAGGGCCAAGACAAAGCTTGTCCCAACAACCCAGGCAGCAAGCATCCTGGCGGCAAAAGGTGCTGCTCCCGTCACCAGAGACGAACTCATGAACCTCATGACTAGTTTCAAGGGGGAAATCAAGGACGTAATCAAGAAGTCAGCTGGCTCCAACAAGGGTCAGTCGACAAAGAAGCCTTCTCCCTCCGGGAAGAAGCAAATCAAAGACCGGGTGCCTACTCCGCACCCCAAGCCCAAGGGGACGGATGGACATCTGATCGTCCTCTCAAAACTTCGTTTCCCTGAATCAGGGCAACGGAAGGCCATCCGGCATACACAGCCGGATGGGTCAAAAAAGACTTTCTCTGACGCCCGGTTGTTCATCCAGGAGAAGAGAAGTCAGAGTATGTCTCAGTCGGCTTCAACATCGACCTACTCGGACAGTTTTCGAAATGCTTCAATGAAGCACTCGGAGACGCAGCAAGGGAGTCAGTCGCGCGGCGTGTCCGCACGTACTGGCCCTCACGTGATCCAGCAGGCTCCGTATGTGCCCCATCAGCAATACGCCCCATATGGATCTCCATTCATGCAGTCGGCTCCCTTCGGGGGTCAGGCGGCATACCAGGTCCAACCTATGGACTGGCAGCTTCGGCTGCTAAACCTTGGGGAACAGCCTTCGGCTTTCTCCCGAGAAATAACTGAGGCAGCACAGCCGGCCAAGGTTAAAAATGTGTTGGTTGGTGCCTACGACGGTACCACCAACCCGGAAGACCACCTAATGGCATACACCAACCTCATGTACCTACAAAGGTTGGATGACGCCGCCTGGTGCAGATGCTTCCCAGCTACGTTGAAGGGCATTGCCCAACGATGGTTTGGCAACCTGCCGGCTGGGTGCATTAATAATTTCAAGACGCTTGCATACCTGTTTGCGTCCAACTTTTCCACGAACATCTCTGCCAAAAAGACAAGTCTCGACTTAGGGGCTATACAGCAGGGTGACAAGGAGGGATTGCGGTCCTATGTCAGGCGTTTCAACCTGATGAGAATTCAGATTCAGGGGCTGACTGACGAAGTCTGAAGGATGGGTCAACTTTCAAATTTGACCTTGTCCGCAAGAGGGTAGCTACCCTCCAAGAGGCGCTGATGGAGGCGGAGGCCTACATACAGGTAACTGAGCTCTGCGCCATCAAGCATCTGTCGGAGCCTAAGCGGTCTGACAGGAGAGAGCCGGCCTACCCAGCCGGCCAAAAAGGAAGAAAAGAAAAGAAAAGAGGTCTGGGCTGCCAGGTCAGCAGTCCCAGAAGAAGGCAGAGGAAGTTTGAACCGTACATCCCAGTACGAGTTCAAAGAAGCAGAAGAAGTTTGAACCGTACGTCACCAAGTACGAGTCCTCACGGAGATAAAGGACCGGTTGACAATTGAAAAGCCGGCTGCAATGAAAAGCTCTGTCAAGACAGAGACAAAAGCAAGTATTGCCAGTCACATGAGGACATTAGCCATGACACCAATGGTTGCTATAGCCTCAGGCGGCTATTGGACCGTTTGGCTGATGAGGGGGCTCTGGATTCTTATCTGGTGAAGTCCAAGGGCAACCCCAAACCAAGTGGGGGACAGCTGTCCAAGAATCCGGCTGCTAGCTCTGAAACGGATGAAGAGCACATCTTCACTATAGCAGGCGGCTTCGCAAGCGGAGGTCCCACCATCCGGGGTGCCAAGAATAACATCCGGAAATTATCCAACCCAGAAGATGAGGGCCAGGCGTCGCAAGACACCTTCCCTAAGGTCTTCATCTCTGAAAAGGATAGGGGCATGATCAGGCGGCCTCACGATGACCCTATTGTCATCGAATGCAAAGTTGCCAATCAACGAGTTGGTCGGATCTTAATCGATACCGGGAGCTACCAATGCTTGACAAAGCTCAAGTACAAGCCCAGCAGTATGCATAAGGCTCCCCACCCTCTAGTCGGCTTTGGAGGCGGGGTAGTGCATCCAGTGGCTAGGGGACAAGGGGGAAGGACGGCACATGGTCGTCAAGTTTTTGGTGGTCGAGGAATTGACCGCCTACAACCTTATTCTGGGCCGTCCTACCCTCAACGAGTCCAAGGCAGTCATCATCCAAGGCAGCCGGCAAAAAGCGAAAGGCAGAGCAATTGGCCCCCGCCAGAAAAACAAAATAGCAATCACTCGCCGGGGAAAGGCCGGATGACTCCCGACCACAGCCGGCTAGTGAGAGTATTGATGTCGTCCTGGACGACAGCCGCCCTGACAGAACAGTCAAGGTTGGGACGGCTGCTTTTGAAATGTTGGGGGCAGACTTGCTCCAACTTCTAAAAGAATTCAAAGACATTTTTGCCTTTGAAGTGGAAGAGATGCCAGGCATCAGCCCGGATCTAGCCGTCCACAAGTTAGCCGTCAATCCCAAAATAAAGCCAGTTAGGCAAAAGAAGAGGGATCATGGCGAGGAGAGGTCTCAGGCGGCAGCCGCTGAGGTCGAAAAGCTCCTGGATGCCGGGTTCATTCGGCAATGTCACTACCCGGATTGGGTTAAAAAGCCGAATGGTACCAGGCGGATGTGTGTAGACTACACAGATCTAAACAAGGCATGTCCGAAGGATAGTTATCCCCTTCCAAAGATCGACAGCCTGGTTGACTCTACAGCTAGCCATGCCTTGATGAGTTTCATGGACGCCTAGGCTTCCATCAGATCCTTAAGGATCAGGAGAAGACGACCTTCGTCACTGATAAGGGGTTGTATTGCTACACGGTGATGCCGTTTGGGTTGAAAAATGCGCTTGCTACCTTTCAACGAATGATAAACACGGTTTTCATCAATCAAATCGGAAGGAATGTAGAGGCGTATATTGATGACATGATAGTCAAATCCATGCTTCTGGCGGATCACTTAGCCGACCTCTGAGAAAACCTTCACCACCCTCAGGCGGCATAAGGTCATGCTCAATCCCAAAATGTGCGTCTTTGGTGTTTAGTCTGGGATGTTTCTCGGATTTCTGATTGATCAAAGAGGCAGAGAGGCCAATCCGGAGAAGGTTCAGGCGGTGATCGACATGAAGTCACCCGCACCGTCAAGGAGGCCCAGAAGCTAACTGGTTGCCTGGCAGCATTAGGAAGATTCCTCAGGTGACAAGTGCCTTTACTTCTTCCAAGCAATCAGGAAGAGGTCTAGATTTGAATGGGGATAAGAAGCTGAGGCGGCATTTCAGAGGTTAAAGCAATACTTGCACTCTTTGCCAAGGCTAGTGAGCCCCCTGCCAAAGGAGGTTCTCTACATGTACCTAGCCGTCTGAGATCACTCCCTTAGTGCTGTTCTCCTTGCTGAGAGAGACGACAAACAGCTCACGGTGTATTTTATCAGCCATATACTCAGAAATGCTGAGCTCCGGTACCCAATGATTGAAAAATTTGGGCTGGCTCTTTACAAAGCAGTCAAGAGGTTGAAGCCCTACTTCTTGGCTCATCTGTCAGCCACTCAAGTGTCCAATGACTACTGATTAGGGGATTTTGCTCCCACCAATCGGAATGCGCCACGTGGACCAATCAGGTCCTGCCAAGTGTCCCCCAGTTGGAACAGCCAGGGCTTCCCACGTGGCACGCGCTTATTCGTCTACCTTGGACCTGTTATGTCACGACATGTGGCATACTCCATGCCTAATGGAGAAACCGGCCACCCAGGCCCAATTTCCGAGGGAAGCCCAATCGGCCCTAGGTTTACCTAAACCTAGGATGGGCACATTTCCCAAGGTTATAAATACCTCCCTTAATCCTCATTAAGGGGGATTACAAAAAAGAGAACAGAAACATTACGGAAAAAACACATTAATTACACACAGTAATAACCGGCTGATCTCGCTAACAAAGCAGATTACCTACGTTAATCACTCTCACCTAGAGAGACCTAATCACTTTAATTTCCGCATTAATTACTCCTTAATCAGGTACTAACTTGACCGTTGGAGGCGGAGCTCACAGGAGTCTCCGTTATTTTGCAGGTACAGGCGTCCGGTTCCAGTCTCGGAATTGTAACTCTCCCGCAGGACATCAGAAAACCCCGAAACATTTGGCGCCGTCTGTGGGGAGAGTACTTTTGAGATGGCATCCAAGTCTGTACCGACTCCTGAAGAGAGGCGTCCCCTAGACGACCCTCAAGTTCAGTCGGACCATGATACCGAAAGTGAATTCGAAGTTGAAGCTCATACAACTTCAGACGGGACCCTAAGGGCTCGACGTACCCGTCATACCGAAAGGAGGGAACGGGAACATCTTCAAACAGGAAGCGAGCCAGCAGGCGCACCGCGTGTTCGGCAACAGCCGACTGATGGGTCTGCTCCCATCACAAGGAACGAACTCATGACCTTCATGAGGGACTTCAAGGGAGAGATTCAAGAGTTGATCAACAAGAAACCGCCTGCTCCAGTCAAGGAGCAGTCGGCCAAGAAACCCTCCACTTCACTGAAGAGGAAGCCAGTTCAAGGGCGAGAGGCGACTCCTCATCCTAAATCTAGGAAGCGGGAGCCACCTGCCCTTGATTTCACAAAATTCCGTTATCCTACAGGAAATAGGAAACCTGTTCGTCATATTCAGGCGGACGGGTC